TTTAAGTTTGCGTATATGTATATGTATAAAAATCAACGATGAAAAGCATGTAGGGCCAGATTGAGCTTTTCATTCCATATGGTTTTCCTTTTCTTTATTAAAATTTATTTACTTTTATTTTGTTAGGTTGTCAAACTTGGAAGTTTTTAAATTTTTTTAAGATAATTTAAGTCAATAGACTTATTTATTGTACTATCTAATTTTGAGATACATAATATGGGAGGTGTAAACTAAAAAGAAAAAATTGATTGGTACAATTGACGGATATTTATGTAATTCTGTAGGTCCTCTATTATGTTAGCTTAATATTTAGGCTAGCATATTTACTCAAATATATATTCATAAAACAATGTTATGCTTTAAAAAAAATAAGATAAACATTAATATGACGTGATGGTATAATTTAAATTTTTATTTTAAGAATATGATAGGTCGACTCACCTAATGATTAAATTATTTCGTATAAAAAATATTATTGGATAAATTTGTTATTTATAATCAATCGAGGAGGTTTATATACAATATTTATGTGTGGATGTGCAAATAGCAAAAGTACTATTATCCACAACGGGGCCCATTTTGAAATGAAATTAGTGCAACAAATACATTGGACCAATCATCTTTAAGACTATTACTCTGTGATGGGCCACAATCCAAACGCAATTGAGGCCCAAATGTTACCCAACCACTGAATAGAAATTAGAGAAATTTACTCCTATCACGAGATAAGATCATTAATATTGCATGATTACGACTCAATTAATTTATTTAGTACATTTAATAAAATCTCATCTTTTATTTGTTGTAATACGAGAAACACATAATTATAGAAATAAAAGGATCTAGTGCAATTATTTTATTGAATTTGCAGACCTCATCCCATCAAAATGGCGTCGTTCTGCATCCACTCAATCCTCCGGCCACCGACGTCCATTCCCGCAAAAACTCTAATCTCCGGCGACGATAGCCTGTGTGCCGCCTAACCTTATCCTGCGCGCCCGTACGCCATTCATCACGGCGGGAACCCTTTCACGACCTCCGAGGGCGGTCTCACCTCAGACCTACGTCTATCCTAACCCCATCCCTAAATTTGCAGATGCCGTAAATAATTCTTTCTACCTCAAGTTTCCATTTTGCAAATGATTATTTCAATTTTGACGAATTTCTGTTATTTTTTTGGGAAAATAGATAATAAATTAGGAGACTCTGAAGTTCAGGGACGAATTGCTGTAGAGGCTTTCGAGGGACAAAGATACATTTGGGGACGCTCTTCAAACGGTTGTCAATACCTACGCAGAGATAAAAACTTTTTGAGGTAATTGGTGAAGGTGATGTTGGAGGGGCCGACGATCTTGGCTCCGACGTCGCCAACGACTGTATCATCGGTGAAGATGGGTCAGGATTGATTTTGTGGTTAGGTTTTAGTTGAGCAGAGGACTAGACCAGACGATGTATATGTTGTATATATGTAGTATTTTATACTTTTTGTTATTATTTGCTTAGTTGCAGGTATATGTTCTATATATATGTTTTTTAATCGTGTATATTATGTATATTTTTTTTTATGGACGTTTCTGTATATGTTCTGTATATATGTTTTTGTAATCGTGTATGTTATGTATATTTTTTTATTGGCATTTATAGCAGCAAGATGACTGATTTTTGTGATTGTGTATGTTCTGTATATTTCATATCGTGTATTTTCTGTAGATTTCAGATCTTGTATGTTCTGTAGATTTTTTTTCCAATAAAAACGGCATTCTTTTAATCCCACAAATTAAGGAGACTTAGCCTATTTGTTGGGGATAATTCCCACAAATTAAGGAGACTTCAGTTGGGAGTAACCATTATTTCCTTTATCACAAATAAAATCCATTCATCAGGTAAGTTTGCAAAAAAAAAAAAGGAGTGGTTCGTATGGTTGCAAATATTATAAAATCACTGTGTACATTTAAAAATGTCCCTAGAATTAATTGGAGATATCCAATGTCACCCAAGCACTTGGAATATAATAAATTACTTGATAATATAATAAATAAGTCTTGGGTGTGTTCTTAGCATCCAAAACTCTCAAAAACTATGAAAAATACCTAAAAATGTGCCCTAGCGTTTTTTTAAATAGTCTAATTCCAGTCCTAGTCGAAATAGGTCAAAAAACACGTAACATGCGTTTTTGTGGCGCCCTGAATCCACACGACATGTGCGGTAATGTCATATAAGCCACACGAGTCATGTGAAAAAGTCGAGAGCTTATTTCGTATCCAATCAGATTGACACGAATCGTGTCGTAACTCGTAAGTCACACACGTCCAAAACTCCATTTTCGCCGCAGGTTTCGGATCATGGACGATTTTCCGTTCTCTACCAATGTTTAAGGCGTCTTAGGGTCATCAAACATAGAATGTTCCGGTCAGTTTCCAGCAGTAGACGTGAAGGTTCCATAACAGTTTTACCCGGAGACAAGACGGCGGCGTGCGGCTTCTCCATGTGTGTTCTGCGGCATTTCGGCAACTGTCTTGATGGTTTCTCATGACCAGCTCTCGCACATCCATGGACCATGGTGTGTAGCCTTTTNCATTTCGATCGTCAGATTCTTCTCTTCGATGCTCATACTAGAGCCAGAGGTCATATTTCCGGTGGCTGGGAAGCGACAAAGTGGTGCGGTGTTCAACTCTTCAAGTTGGATGTGCGGCAGCTATGGTTAGGGGTGAGCATCAGTGCGACTCGGTGCAAAACTGCAACAAATCGCAAAAAGTTGAAAAACCGAAAAATTTAAAAGTCCAGATTGAACCACACTGTTATGGAGAAAAAACCGAACCGAAATATTTCGGTGCAGTTCGGTTAACCGCAAATAACAAAAAATAAATAAATTGTAATAGCCAAACAAAAAAAATAATAATTGTAACCAAAACAAAATTTATTTTATGTATTATATGTATACCTATAATATATATAGGTGCTTGTGTATATATTGTATATATACCTATAATATAACATAAACTTTATTCAGTGTGATTCGGTTAAAGACGCACCATTGACCATAAAATTGAACAGCACCTAACTTTTTGCGGTTTTTCAAAATTTTAACCACACCGCAAACTGCAATCTTCAAAAACCAAACCACACTGTACCAAATACATCGATTCAGCTCAATTTTTCAATTTCGGCTCAGCTTTTCCCACTCTTAGCTATGGTGGATGGACGTCAGCGACTTGATTGAATAATAAAACTACATGCAGTTGAAATGGCCTTTTTACCCTCCTTTAAATAGTTCTTTTGGGCTAGACTTGTAATGGGCTTCTACCAATCCTATGGGTCTTGACTTAGGCAAAATTACATACATAAACCCCTTTGTATACATATTTAGATATATACAGTCTGAGCAAACATTTATCAAAATAGGATTAGGATCTGTTTTTTATTTCAATATTACGAGATAAAGATTTATATCTGTTTATCTCTCTCCATAATCTTGATCACGGCAATATGTCGCCGAAATCAACGCACTAGAAATCGAAGGTTAAAAAAAAAAAAAGGAATAAATATAAAATCCGAAACGGGATTTACAGTTCAAAGAGTTCTTGCGGTCCGAAAAAAAAAACACACTGATAAGCTGGAAAAAAGAAAAGAAAATCGATAGTGTTGTTTCTGAAAAAAGATCGTGAAATAGCCGTTGAGCCAAAATATATGTTTAGATGTACTGTATATATACATAAGATAAACATGATCTGACATTTTTCTATTATTAACAGTATAGTTATACATAAGATAAACAACATATAAACAATTCTGAAAGGGATTAAAAACATAATACACATTTTCTATTATTAACCGTATAGTTATACATAAGATAAACAACATATAAACAATTCTGAAAGGGATTAAAATATAATACACAGGGCCGGTGTTGTCGAGGAGGTAGCGGACGAAGGGGTCCGGGAGCTCGTGGATTAGGGTTTTGATAGATGAGGATTTGAATTTGGGGTACCATTCTTGGATCTGGCATCTGTTTACGTCTTCCATCTTCATCTTGGATGAACTGAATCGATTGAGAAAGAGATTTCTTTCTGAAAGAGATTTCTTCATCTTTCAGCACAACTTGGAGCGCTTCCCGCCGATCATAAATTTCTTGATGATTTTTGTTGTTGCTGAGGGGTTCTTCCTCTTCTCGCACACCAGTGCGGTAGAAAAAGTTCTGCCCGACGAGCCACGCATCAAAGAGGGAAAGAGAGAGAGAAGGGTTGCGAGAAAGTTTGAGAGCGAGAAAGAGGGAGAGAGAGAGAGAAAGAGGGTGGGATATATCTCAATAGGTATTTGTGATGAAAAGTTTATCATCTCGTATTTTTGATATTATGTCTCAAATAATTAATATGAGGAGTAATTTTCTCCTTGACTTAAGTATTCTATAATTTAAATTGAGGAAATTACACACGGTACAATTTAGGCCAATAAATGTGGTCGACTTTAATCTCCTAGTGGGTCATGTACTTGGGCATGTTAGCTCGCACTCCGTTTATATCTGTTTCACCCCGTTTTGTACTTTAAGAATCAATACTCACTCCATTTTCTATCAAAACTCAAAATAAAACACATTCGCCATAGATTAATAAAATTAGTTAAATAAATAGTAATATATCTCAAATTACGACAAAAGAATCACGAGAATTAGTCTAAAATGCATGTAAAATGATGAATGTCACATAAACATACAAAATTATATTGTAAAACTTTTTGTTAAATTTATTTATTCTATAATTAATATTGTATATTTTTTTTAATCTCATTAAGTGATTATTTTAAAAAATTACTTAATTTTAATGACATAGTAAAACTCATATCGTATAAGTAACTGTTATAATAATAAATTTAATATTTTTTTTACTTAATTAATTAGTAATAATTTCTTAAAATTATATAAAAAAATATATTATTTATTATATTTTATACAATTAATATAGTGATTCATATGTATTGTTTATTTTTACTAATGATGGATTTTTTAAAACATAATACCACTATCTAACTTATAATTTTAATATTATTATGCATACATATACAACTTATAATACTTTATTTTTAAAAAATTAATAATTATCTAGCTTATAATTTTAAAATAGCATTAAGCCACGTTGAGAAATGAATGCTTGATTGTGAAATCAGACATTTGCCTAAAAAAATAAAGGCTCATTTATTCTTGATGTAACCCAAATCTTCTCATTCTCACAAGTCACGCAGAGAAATTCTATAATTTAATTTGATATTAAGCCAACCTTCTTAATTACATGATATTAGTTCAGATGTATCTATTACAATACCTTGCAGATATTTTAGGTACACCAAAGCGAAGACGTAAATATGAAGTTGCTTACACACGCATGATCAATATTATGGTCTGCACCACATCAAGGCTATTTCCGTAAATTCCTAACACGTATGACGTATCATATGTCACAATATAATGGCAATGTCATTTTTTGTATTGGCTATTAATTGGACTCTCGAACTCACCATCAATCTAGTAAATTGGGACGACCACCAAGTTGATTAGCTGATTATATCAAATATCATTAATTAAAAGCTTTTTTAGAAGTATATATAATTAGAGATATAAACCAATATGATAACTTTTTGTTTCCATTAGTCATTTGTGACCAATTTATCTGAGCGAAAGCGTAAATGATTGGAAGAATAAAAAAAAAAATCTCAATATTTTTTTTAATCAACTCAATTCCCTCCAAACAAAAGAATGAGTCTTAAACACTTCTCCGTCAATCCTAAAGAAATAAGTTATCTCCCAAAGAAAAGAACTAAGATAAATATTTTCCTACAATTGAATATATTTCATACCAAAACTAGAACCAATAATATGTAATAAACTAAAAGGACTAAATTAATTAAATTTGACAGAAATTGAGGAAAAAACGGGTGCGGACCCACTAAACATGAAATGCACCATGAACGTGGAAAAACCCATATGAAGCCCAAGTAAAGTTCCATCCCAAAAGTCAATTATCAAAAAAAAAGAAAAGTAACAAGAGATCCACCACAAATTGAAAAAAACCCTTGCCCCGAAAATATCCTCTCTACTAAATTCACTGTAGCAAAAACAAAAAATAAANCATATTCCGGCAGTTGCGCGCCCAGCAAGGCCTTGGCCGAGGCTGGAGGAGTGCCTCCCGCTCCACTCCGTCATCGTGAGAGGGTTGCAGCGCCGCAGTACCTTGCTCGCCCAGAGTGGGGCCGTCGTCCGGCCCTTTCTCCTCCTCCGGTTTCGCGCCGGCCACTTTGCCGATCCTTGCCGATACGTGGTTGGAGGACTATTTTCTACCCCTGCTGGAGTTTTGCGGGAGTTTCGGCCTGTGGTGTGCCGATCTCTCCCCGCCTCCGGTGGTGGTTGCCAATTAGCCTCGACTTCCGTCCAGCCTCGGGAGCTTCCGGGTTCGCTGGTAATCTGTGCTTGGGCTTTCAGTTCTACAGCCAAGGAAGGGCGTCCGCTCGGCTGCCGGCAGCTTGAGGCGTTCTCTCCTTGGATCTCGTTTGATCCCTCCGACGTTTCATGGTGGCTCCCTCTTTTGGTGATGAAGTCCTTCGAAGCTCAGATATTGATTGATGCTTGACTCCTTGTCAGATCCGTCTAGACAATTCGAGTTCGGCCGCGGTTTTTGGGTCTGGGGTCTAAATTTGTTGCCTGGTTGGTTTCTTTGCTGTGAAGTGTGTTTCGGTGGTAGGTTTGAGAGCGTGTTCGGTTGCCTGATAGGATTAGGGGAGGTCTTATCTTCTTTATTTGTTTATTAGATGTGAGTTGTTTTTTGTCTTTATTTTGTTGTTTTGGTTCGTTTAGTGCAGTTGTGTCTGCTTTTAGTGCAGCTTGTCTGCTTTTCTCTCCTATATGGAGTTTGTTTCTCCTTTTTGGAGTTTTGCTTTGTTGTTGTTTGTACCCCCTTGTTTGTGTTGACAAGGGCGGTTGGTCCAATCTTCTGGTTCTAGTGTGTCACTTGACACTTCGAGTTTACTATTTTGAGTTTTTAAGTTATTAATATAATTGTCGCTTGAAAAAAAAAAAAAAAGGTTCAATCCCAAAACCAATTAGTGGAAGGAGGAGTAGCTTATTAGTGTTATAAAGTGGGTTTATTTTCCATGTACGAACAATGTGTGACTCACAATGATATTCTAACAAAATTAATGATGTCAAACGATAATGTTTGTCAAGAAAGATCAACGCAATCTCGTCGCCATCATTAACTATAACAATGTTTTACTAATTGTTTGAAATAAATATATCTGCAACATATGACTAAAGCGACTAGTAACTAAATTAGAAGTATTAAGCTCGTGTTAATAAATTAACCTTTATGTTGAGCTGAATACTCGTAAAAAGGTAGGTGTGAGTAGATAGAACATCCCCATCGTGTGGAATTGATGAAAGGATATAATACCGAAGTACATTTTGTTACGACATTCTTATTTAAGCTTAATTAGCACTTCTTTACTATCCTTATCTTTTGAATTTATTGTTTTGAAAGTTTACATTTAATTTGGAGTTNAAGTTTTACATTGAATTTGGAGCGGACAACAATCTCTAGAGGCATGTTTTTTTGGAACAACAATGAGTTGATTGACCAAATTATGATTTCTATAAGACTACATAAGAGCTAGGTTGATAAGATTAAATTTTACGTCAAATTTTTATGATTAATGTGATGTTTGAATTTGACAATACCCTAAATATTAGACAATCATATTTTATTAAATATCAAACTTAAAAAGAATTATAATATAAATAAAAAGAAAATGGCATTTTAAAGTATAAACATATATTTTTATTTATTAAAATAATTATGACTAACGCTTGACGTTTAGCTCGTTCCATACAAAAAATTGTAACGTGGGATAGAATAGAAGTGGAGATAATTTCGAGACCTTTTGTATATGAGTTAATTGAATAAAAAATTATTTTTCTCTTCGTAGGATACATATATGGCGTGATAATATTTTTTTTTTGAGATGGACTGATGTTAACAAAACAACAGTTTTCTTATTTTATTTTTGGGTTCCTCAATAAATTATGTCAAACTTGTATTTTTTAATTTATGGGACAAATATGTTATTTTGGGCCCAATTATGTGATGGGAAAAGGCCCACTGCTAGTGAGTGCTACGGCTGTTAAGTCGCCTTTGTGTCTAAAATACAAACTACGCCATCTTCTCTAGGCCCCATTCACCTTTCTTCTTGCTCACATCACATGCTTGGTTTATGTTGATTTATCTTTTTTTTTTTAGTTTTATTTAGTTTTGATTTATTCTAAATTAAGAAATAAATTGGATAGAATTATTTTCTTTTAATATGTGTGAATAGTATAACAAGTTATATAGTTCAACTATTCTTCCTGTTCTGATATGGAATTCAATTGATAGATAAATTAACATCTGGGTTTATGTACAAATTACAAATTGATACATTGAATCCAATACTCTAAATGTGGTTGATTCATGTATAACTGACGAAAATGCATAAACCAATTTAAAACAATTATTGAAATTACTAAACAATTAACTTAACCACACCGCAACATATATTCTCAAACGTTGCATATTGATACATTGAATTCAATACTCTCAATGTAGTTGATTCATGTATAATTGACGAAAATGCAAAAACCAATTTAAAAATATTATTAAAAATTATTAAATAATTAACTTAATTAACCACACCGCAACATATTATATTATATATTCTTAAACGTTGCACAGACCCACTCGACTCAACTCAGTTACTCCTCGTAAATTAGTTTTTTAAACCCACATTCACCATATGCATACAATTTTTTAATTTTCAAAAATATAATCATTTTTCAATCACAAGATACCCCCACCTCCTCATTCTCCCCAAAGCACACACATAAATAGAGTTGAGTTCCAACACAAACCTACACAAAACACATCCAACTAACCATTTCTTTCTCAATACCTCTATCCAACTAACCATTCCTTTCTCAATACATCTTCTTAAGCTCATTATCCTCAAATGTATCCATATAAATAGAAAAACTTGAAAGAAAATGGCAAGAAATTTTCATTCTTGCTTCACCAAGATCAAATCCCCACCGTCGCCCAAACACAACATCCTCCCATCTCGGAATCACAGCAGTCTCCACCTCATCGACAACCTCGCCGCCGCCTCCACCGCACCGCCTCCCGACTTTGCCACCGCCGCCGCCTCTCGGCGGTTCTTCTTCTCCTCCCCCGGCCACTCCAACTCCATCGTCGACTCCTTTGTTAAGTTGTCGCCGTCTCCTGAGACCTCAGGAGTCGGGATAGCCGTGACCACGTACTCGCCTAACCCGTTTGCGGACTTTCGTCGATCCATGCAGGAGATGGTCGAGGCGCGCGAGGTCTGTGGCGTGAGCGAGGATTGGGGATACCTACACGAACTCCTCACGTGCTACCTCTCACTCAACCCGACGAACACGCACAAGTTCATAGTCGAGGCGTTTGCCGACCTCCTCGTCAGCCTTGTCGAGGAGGAGGAGGAGGAGGAGACTCGCCGGGAAATGCGCTTCTCGACTGTCGTGGAATGTCGGATTCAAGAACTTTGATGTATTTTGGTATTTGTGTAAGACTGCTGTCAATCAAGCCTAACAGTTAGAAATTCATACTTTTTCAACGTAAATGTGCTTGCTTGGAAGAACTTTCGGAAAAGTTCAACAAAATGGAATTCTTCAAAACTCCTCATCGTTTATTTATATAGAATGGACTTTTCAGATAAACAACTTAGGATAAGTCTCTTCTTAATTTAGCACCAAACATAATATTATCAAAATGGACTTTTGTATTTAAAAGTCCATTTGAAAAGTGCTTTCAAATAATTTCTATATCTATATCGGTATAGTTAGACCTAATCGTTAGACATTCATACATATATACATGATTTTGATGTTTCTCAATACAAATTATACATTTTTGTTAGAAAAAGGTATATGATGGGTCGATTCGTCTAACAATTAACAGGTGAAGCGTTAACTATAATTATTGGTCCCAAATTATATATCTTGAATTATAATATTCAGTCCTCCCATATCATTCCCATATCAGTCGTCCCATATCGCAATTGAATTGAATTAGATCAGTAATACTATATCTCTTTTCGCTTTCCAGCTGCATGCTATAAATTGGATAGACATATTAATTGTTCTATCTAACAGGAATTAACTATAAGCACTCCAAAAATCATCTACACGGTTAATTTTTGTTGCAGAAGAAAGGTAATTAAATTAATTAACCTTTTTCTTCATATCTTTATATGGCATGCATTCTGCAAGTACCTTTGTTTGTTTACAAGATCTATTTTTGCTAACCTGAGACTGAGAGTGGTCTTTTTATTTGTTAATTAAATCTTAAGAGAAAGTGAACAGTGTCCTTCGAGAAGGGAAAAAATATGAGAGATAAAAAACCCGTGGGCTCATGGTTTTCAATCAGGTTGAAAATTACAGAAATGTTTAACCCCAGCCAATAATTTACCCACCAACTTCTTCATAGGATTGCGATTAATTATGTTTATCAAAGAAGAAATAAATAAAACAGCATTCACTTTCAATTGTTTTCACTGTGTTATTTTATAGTGCAGTTGATGCAAGAAAATTGGTCATTGGGGTTCAGAATCTTGAAGAAAAGACAAATATACGGCTTTAAGATGAAACCCAAAAAAACAAAAAAAAAAATTAAACTTTTTCTTTATATTTGTATATTTCTATATGACTGTTATATTTTTTTTTAACATATATACATATTTTAAATTGAAATGTCATACTTACAAAAAATTAAAAATAACATAAATAAAAGTATGATATTTTTTAATATAAGTATGTATTTTTATTAGAAAAAATATGACCAATTAAAAACTGTGGTAAAGGTAACCTAATTACTTTTATTTGGCCTTTTATTTCCCTTTCACTTTTTTTTTTTTAATTAAAAAAAGGAGGATATGGGATAAGTCACTCTCAATATTGACAATTATGTGGCTTTATATATAAAGTGATATAAAGTGAAACGCATGTGACTTGCTTAATTGGGATTGAGAGTTATAAACTTACAACTTGGATTACAACTCAAGTATAAATGTATTATTATTTAATTTTTTAATAATAGATTTACACTTGAGTTGTAATCCAAATATTGTAAAATTTAGGAAACTATTGAACATGATATTATTTAAATTTTTGATAATACATTTACACTTGAGTTGTAATCCAAACACTATAAAATTTAGGAAACTATTAAACAGTGGAATCCGCCAAAATTTCAACTTGGCACATAATTCCACGGTTAACTGCCTTACAGTTTAACTTAATTATTTAAAAAAAATTAAACTATAATGATTTGATACAAGCAAAAAGGAGAACAAAAATAATACTTATAAAAATTAAAAACTGCCTTAAAGAGAGAATTTCGTAACTACAATATAAAGTAAAGGAGATATCTCTTTTTAAAAAAAATCAAAAAAATACATATTTGATAATGAGATTTTTTTTTTCCGTCACCTCCATTCTGGAGATTACAATTACTTCTGAAAAGGATCAGATATTATATTGGGCCTTATACGACTACATAACTGGGCCTATAACATCAGACTATAGGTAAAATAGGATCAGTAACACAGACTGGTACTTGAAAAATTGGGATAATACTAATCTTGAGGAAAAAAGATACAAAATTATCTGTTTACTTTTACTTATTGAACAAAATACCCAGCTTCTGGAGATAATGGATGACAGAAATAATATGTAAGAATACAAATTATTAATCTTAAAATTCATATAATGTGAAAATCATGGAATCTTGTATATTATGTCCCAACCATTATGTTAATGTATAATGACCCCACATTGAGATTCAACTCTTCAATTTCAATAAAGAACCAAAGAAATAATAACTCAATTTCTCATAATGAAGCAAACCTCAAGCACAAACATAAACCTACTGATTCAGATTCTCTCACAAATAAATTGGGTCTCATCGGAATACAAAAAACTTCTTCGAAAGTTCCAAAACAAAGTATAACATCATAACCCGGCAGAACATGAAACTTCTTGGGTACACAATAAGGAAAGAACATACTCTAAAACAAAATAATATTACTCATACGAACAACTTGAAAAGATAACAAAACAAAACAAACAAAGTTCACCGTTTTTTGGAGACACCAACAGTCTTTCCCCTACGTCCAGTTGTCTTGGTGTGCTGCCCACGCACTCGGAGACCCCAGTAGTGACGCAAACCTCGGTGGTTCCTGTGAAAAAAAAAAGAATTAAATAAATAAAATAATATAAAAGAATGTATTAATTAATCGAATTAAATAGAAGCAAATGAAAAATACTCGGAACGAAGTCTTAAAAGAGTGAATATCTATCTAACCTGATCTTCTTGAGACGCTCAAGATCATCCCTGAGCTTCATGTCAAGGGCATTGGAAGTCACCTGAGAGTACTTACCATCCTTGTAATCCTTCTTTCTGTTCAAAAACCAGTCGGGAATTTTGAACTGGCGAGGGTTTGCAACGATTACCATCAAGCTGTCGATTTCAGCAGCTGAGAGTTCACCAGCCCTGTGAAAAGGAACAGACTTAACTTTAGATTACTTGCTTCAAGAGCATTGCGAAAGGATAACAGGTTTGAGGTGAAAAAATGTAGAACGAAGAATATCTTTGTGGTGCATAACATAACCAGATTTTGAAACATAAATGTGTATATTCCATAAGCTTCAATGCAATTGAATTGAGGCAACAAGTTTTAAACTAAATCCATTATCACACAACTTATCATCACTCGGGACTTCTCAAAAAAAAGCCTTTAGAACACGATACTAATAGACAAATGTGAAAGTTGCATTAGGACCTATCCAGTTCGGAAATCAAAAGCGCACAACAATTATACATACAAGAATTTAAGTATACACAGCTGCAAAGTCAATAAGCACTTGGATCGCAATACATATCACTCCCCACAAACTGAACTAATACGTAAATCATGTTAGCTGAAGAGGGTAATGACTCAGTGATATTTTTAGGCTAATTGTGCATTCCTACCTACCATTTCGCAATCAAAACGAAATATCACTTTGACAAAACACAAAATTATTAATGAATGTCAGCCTCTTCAAGCTAACCATACACTATGTGACAAAACATAGCACAAGTAACATTGCTTTCAAAGTACATAGTAAAGGAGAGCAAAACGAATGCAATACACCTCAGAAGCGCCTCAATTGCCCAATTGCAGGTTACAAACCAACACATATAATAGAAAAAGAGCTAACTACAAAATGAAGCAATTACAGGGTATTATGGTTTTTGGACTATTGCCAAATAAAACAAAGATAAAACTGAAACAAATCTAAAACAAAGGCGAAGATTAAAGAAATGGGTACCTCTTGTTCATATCGACGTCGGCTTTCTTGCAGACGATGTTGGCAAAACGGCGGCCGATACCCTTGATGGAGGTCAAAGCGAACATGATCTTCTGCTTCCCGTCCACGTTCGTGTTCTGCACACGCAGAATGTGCTGGAAATCCTCATTTGCTACCAGCGACTGCGACACGANTTCCCAGCAAGCAAATTTTCAGGAAATTAGAACACAAATCGAAAAGACAATCGAGCTACAAAAGACTGTGTAATAACCGGCGATAAAACTAATCTTAGTCACATAAAGAGTTTCAGAAATAGGAATTACCATGGCTAGGGTTTCGAATCGAGCTCTGGAGAATGCTGTGATATTCAACGGCTGCTCAAAGGTCTCGCTTAAAATGGAGGTGGTGGATGGAAACCCTAAACCCGTGGTTTTTCTTTTATAATCGCGAGAAACTAGCAATTACAGTTTTGCCCCCACTGTTTTGTGTAATCATATGATGTGTGATGATTTAAATTTTAAATATTTTTTTAGACAAAAAAAAATGTATTTATTTATTTATTAATTTTTCATTTTTCTAGTATGAGTGTTTATTAAAAAATATTAGAATGTCTTTCCATAATGGTAAATATTCATAGGACATTTTGAGAAGTAGTAAAGAATTATGAATTTATATTATATATAAGAGAAATTCTACTCAAATCTAATTTAAAAATTGCAAGAAACTTAATAAAATAGTAATTTTAAAAAATATCAAAATAAAAATCTATTTGTTTTTAAATTATCACTAAAATCTCTAACAAATCATCATGGGGACGAGCGGGAGAAGAAGAAGTAAGTGAAGAGTGGTAGTTGGCTCTAAAGGAAGAATAGATTAGGTCTAGCCTGCCTGCGTTCGATCACTCTCAGCATTCCCAAACACAACGAGCTCCTCTGTTGCGACTGACTTCCACACGGGACTCCCGGATCACTATGGCCGACTTTCGTCTATGTTCGACCAGTCGGTAGTGAACAAAATGTTTAGTTTCTGTAGTCTAGATTACGATTCAGAGTTTTGTTTAACTATAGAAATGTTTTGTGTGTTGTTAATGTGTAACATTATTGTTTGGTTGTAAAATTATACATCATTTATAATATAACAATTATTGTTTTATTTATAAAATGCAACATAAAAAATATCTAAGTTATTAACCTATGTACATTGTGGTTTATAAAGTATAACACAAAAATAAAAACATTTATAGTTTATTTATAAAATATAATATATGTTGTAACCCTTATTAAATCTAATAACTTAAAAGTATCTTCACATAAAATGCAACAATGTTTAATCTATGTTACAAAACATGGAAGTGTTTAAATCACATGTAACACATGCGTAATTTATTATTTATGAATCAAATTGCTAAATTAACAAAAAATATAACTTGAAAATAAAAATGTCTTTTTGTATCCATCAAACTAGAATTTAATATAACATATGTTAACTCGTGTACTCTTTGTTTAATCTATGTATGTATAAGATTACATTACGAGTGATTCTATAAATTATAAAATATCAATCTTCAAACAATATGTTTCTACACTTGTCTTGAAAAAATATATCCACTCTTTAAACCATCTTTTAAGCCAAAGTTCTGTAAAAATATATAATTCAATGATCCTTTTAAAACCGAAATCGATGTTTCTACACTCTTAAAACCAAAATTTAAAGCTTGTAAGCCAGAGTTCTGTAAAAATATATGATTCAAAGATCCTTTTTAGACCGAAATCAATGTTTTTATAAATAAATTAAACCCTACCCATTTAAGAGATGCGAGAAAGAGATTTTAAACACACACACACACACACACACACACATATATATATATATATATACATATGATTCTCCAAACAAGACCATTCAGCAAAAAGTATAAATTGAAAAGTGAAACATCTTAAGGTTCTGTGATACTTTAAAATCTCCAAAAACAAAATGGACTCTAAATAAATAAACAAGACCACAATCCCGAACAACCACCACAAAAATGTGGCACATTCAACATTGAAGAACTAAAATCAATCTAAGGCATACCAAAAAAAGAATGTCACAGAAGAACAAGCCTTTGTCCGACAACCAAAGGGTAAAAATCATGAGAAGTTTATTTCTTCTTTCCAGCATCACCAGCCTTCGTCTGCAAAATTTCAATAAAACACAAAGGAACTCATCAAGAATATAGTAACTGCTTCCACATTATTCGATGGTGAATATCATATAATGGATGTATTGGGAACACAATAATTTTCAAAAACCAAATAACTCGTATATTATCTTAGCAGGCATGATCAACAAAAGCAAATAAAAGTCTTTTCTTGATAAATTGGAAACCCATTTAAATGCATATTTCAGTTTTCAGTCCCAGTACTAATATAAGCAAACAAAGGGTAAGATAGACTCAATACCTTCTTAACACCACGGATTTTCTTTGCTCTGTTCTTCCTTTCCTTCATCTGCTTCCTCGACTTCTCAACCTTAGTGTCAAGACCATTCTGCAATACAAATATTCCAGACAATATATATCTGATGTAAATTGCATATTGCTAACAAATGAAATACATATATTTTACCACAGTGAATAGAAATAAATTTAGAACAGATTATCTGATGAATATATCTCATGGGTGAGTGTGAAACTGAAGTCACAAATTCAAGAAAGATTAAAGGATATCCAATGCCAAGAATAAACACGACACGCAAACTTATTAATATTCCCACTTATGAAGTATGAATCGGCAATATTTTCAGAGAAAAACATAGATGAAAGACGATATACATTTCAAAGTACATGACTTATCAAGGATATCAGTACCACTCAGTTGATCCTCCATTATGACAAATTTGCCCACCCCAAAAGACTAAAAATGTAAAGAGGGCACAGCAAAAAAAGACAACAAGGCAAGGCAATTCACACCAGCATTTAAATTTCTATATAGGAAACATAGAACGATACATTGGAAGTAACCAGAGACTAATAATGAAATTTCACATCTCGAGGAGTAAACAAACAGCACTAAGAATGACTAGCTAAATTACCCTGATAAGCCTGTATTTAGGCTCAAATTTCTTTGCACTCTCAACAGAATCATAGATCAAGCCAAAGCCAGTAGATTTGCCTCCACCAAAGTGGGTCCTGAACTTGAACACAAAGATGGCATTCGAATCTTTAACCTCATACAGCCTTGCCAACTTCTCCTTCAACTCAGCCTTCAGAAAAATGATAAGTTACAGAAAGTAAACCTTCAGTACATTCATATCATTCAACTTTTCGAACAAAAGATCCTATATAAGTAGCATTATCCACATTTTTCTTTGCATATACATAATAAATAACCTAAAGAAAAATGATAAGTTACAGAAAGTAAACCTCAAGTACATTCCTGTCATTTCACTTTTCAAGCAAAAGATCCTTGTAAGTAGCATTATCCACATTTTTCTTTGCATATACATACTAAATAACCAGACACACATTATATTGCAGGGGTATAGAGAAAGTTCATAATGTCAAAGTTAACAAAAATATCCTTTTTCATCTCATTAACATTCTTCAATATGAACAATATTACACGTGCCTTCTCCATTTCTAACACTAACCAACACAGAAATGCAGCTAAAGTGCTAAACAAAGAGCAATCTCTTATCAAGCAAAACTAAAAAGAATCAACATGAAAGGGCAATCCATAAAACAAACAAACCTTAGAAACATTCGCCCTTCCTGGATGCAAAACGTCAATGATCTAAAAAAAAATAAGAGTAAGAAAAATATGAAATGAATCGAAATCAAGATGAAGAGAAAGAACTGCAAAATCAGCTTAAGAGGCATACGAATTGTTTCCTAGAGAGGAGCCGGTTCGTCATGAACTTCCTCGTTCTGATGGTCACTGCTTTTTCCGCCATTTTTCTGCAAAACATAGAAAGCAAGCGTGTTAAACTCAGCACATTTTCAATCTGAAGCTCGAAAACTCGTGATTTCTTCAGCTTTCGCCGGAGGTAAAATAAAATCGGAAAACATAATAGGGATACGGCTGAGTACGGTGTCGTTTGAGACGATTTAGGCCGTGCGCCGGTGAAGCTCTGTCACTCTCCGCTTGCGAGGCGTCTCAGCTCTGAAAGAAGATAAGACTCTAACCCTAGGGTTTATGTAACAAATGCTGGGCCTTGTGGAATTTATATTGGGCTGATAATGGGCCATATTTGGACATTTATCTACCCGCTAATGATGAGATTTACATGCTGCAAGACCATACATTGTATGAAAATTGACTAGTTTTTTGACACAAAATCCTAATAATACCCAACAGATAAACGGGCTCACAATAATGGAAAATCGATTTATATAGGGCCAATTCCCAATGGAAGAATGGGCTCACATTGCAATAAAACACAATTATTATTGTTCAGAGCCGACCCGAGGTTTTACCCGTCTCAGTTCATTCAAATTCTTAAGTCCGAATTGTTTTCCGGATCATCTCAAATCCCCAAATGGGCAGACTTTCATCAGCCGTAGAGGTTAACGAACGCCGGCGTACCGCCGGCCACCACGACAACGGCCGCCATTCCCCAGATCCTCGCAGCTATCACGACGCGATCGCAGTTTTATCCGCAGCCGGAGCCGGAGCCCGAGCCCGAGTAGAAGCCCTAGGAGCAACGGCTATGGCAGGTATCGTCGTTCTTCGCCGGATTATTCGTACCCTAATCTCGACGATGGCCGAAGGTGTGGCGATAGCCATAATTTCAATTACGATAGCCGCAAAAAACCCTACTTCGATCGGGACTACAGAAACAAGCGAGCCGAGGAGGAATCTGAATCCGACGAAGAACTGAAAGGTTTACCTTACGAGGAGTATCGCAGGCTCAAGCGCCAGAGATTGAGAAAATCGCTCAAAAATGCATCTGGAATTGCACCCCTTGCCCCCCTAGAGATCTTAATGAAAAATCAGATAACGAGCTGGAAGAGGAAGATGTTCTGAAGGGCGAAAAAGAGAAACCGAACAAGGGCCCGAATGCTGAAGCGGAAAAATCTCCGGAGAGTGAATCTGAGTCGGTGTCTGAGGATTCTGAATTTGAATCAGATGATTATAGGTCAAGAAAGAATATAAAATCCCGTTGGAGGCGTAAGAGTCGAAGATCGAAATCAGTCTCTGAGAGTGAAACCCATAGCGACAATGATACGGAGGAAGATAGGAAGAGGAGTAGGAGAAAGAGTCTGAAAAAGAGCAGCCGGAGAAAGAGAAGCAACAGGAAAAAGCGCTCAAAGAGTGCAACCGAAACCGAGAGCGAGAGCCAAGATTCTGAAACAAGCCATGATCACATTAGGTCGGAAAAGCGCAAGCAAAGGTCAACTTCACGTTCCAAACAGAGGAAGAAGAAGAGAGAATCGAGTTCCGGCTCTGGTGGCAGCCCCTCTAACTCAGAACATGAAGCAAATGCAGCTGCTCCTAAGCCAGACGAGCTCATAGTCAATGCCGACACAAATGAGGAGCTTCTCAAGTTGAAGGAAATGATCGAGCAGCGTAAAAAGCTCAATCTTGATGAAGAGCCCGTTGTGGGCCCGATGCCCCTGCCTCGGGCCGAGGGCCACGTTAGCTATGGTGGGGCCCTCAGGCCCGGTGAAGGTGATGCTATAGCCCAGTATGTTCAGCAGGGTAAACGTATCCCCGTAGAGGTGAAGTGGGCCTCTCGGCTGAGGAGATTTTGAAATTCGAGTCTCTTGGGTATGTGATGAGTGGGAGCAGGCATCAAAGGATGAATGCTATCCGCATTAGGAAGGAAAACCAGGTTTATAGTGCTGAGGACAAACGGGCCCTGGCAATGTTTAACTATGAGGAGAAGGCCAAGCGAGAGCAGAAAGTTATGGCTGACTTGCAGCGTTTGGTTCAGCGGCATATCGGGCAGGATACTGCTCCTTCTCATGACCCGTTTGGTGGGGATGATTGATTGATAACTCCACACGTGTGCTGCTGTTGCAAATTAGGTAACTTTTTCGTACTGAAATTTATTTTCTATTTGGTTATTGTATGAATGCGGTGGGTTATTTGTTGTTTGGAAGCATTTTAGTGAAGGATGATGATAAAACTAGGTATGTTTCAGTTTTGAGAATTTCAATTTTTTTGTTGTTAAAATAATGATGTTACTTGAGTTTGCTCGTTATGTTTGGTGTTGGAGATATGACTAAGTAAGTTATATGGACGTGTTTTGTTTTCCTGCTGTGTAGTTATATATGGGCTGGCCTAAGCAAAAAAAATTATGGAGGTGAAATTAGTTGCAGAAAAGAAGAGTGTTAAAAACTTACGATGAGGATAGAGTTGAATGCGCGGTTGTCTCTGTAAGGGTCTATTGGTCGCTCTATGTTACTCGACTCGGTTTTGGAATGCGTATATCTTGACAGTTTTCATTTTATTTTGGTTGGTTTTTATGTTAGATTTTAATAAGCTGTGGGTTAATTCGAATTCCAGATGCATTTGCTGTGTCTGCACTGCTTGAATGAGCTTTACTCGGAGCTTTTACGAAGATTAACACGAATGAAATGCAACTTGGTAAACACAAAAGCGGAATTTTCGGGAAATCGTTCCTTTTTTAGCTCGATATTTTGGACCATGTTTAATTTATCTCACTCGGATTCCTCTTCGGCAGCTCGTTTCCTTTCTCATAGTGCGGCGTAGCCTTGATTTTTGTGGTGCAGAAATATATTTCCTTTTCAATTTATCTCAGTATTGGCATTTTTTATTATTATGGCTGTGTTGTTCTCTTGTTGGTGATTACAGCTTGATGCTAAGATCAGTGCATGATGAACTATGATATATGCTAAGTAACAACAAATTGGTGTTTAACAAGCATTCGTGTTCTCAAATTGAAATGCCATATTGTAAAATTGCCTAATTAACGTATGACATTTCATGCCATAAGTATGTAATTTTGCTAACAAAGTATGAAAGGTCGATTTATCTAATAATTAGGCTGTTTCGCACAAAAATCTGTGATCGAGTTTTTGTTTTCAGATTTTAGATGTTAGCTAGTGTTTTGTACCAGAACCAAAACAAAAATTATTTACCATATATACATCAGGAAGGTTGTTATTAGGCATACCCAACAGACAACTATAATTTTTCAACAAATATGCTTAGTTTTTTATTCAAAATGGCATGCTATCTCTAAAAAAATATTTTTTAAGTATGTTTATTTGTGGTAAAAATATTTTTTAAGTATGTTTATTTGTGGTAAAAATATTTAGTTGTTGAGAGTTTGGTACTTGACCACCTCGAAAATTTAATGGCACACTATATATGAACAAGTCGTGAAAAATAAAAATTGAACCAGAAGTTATGGTTAGTATATCTCAAGGAGGCCATATTTGAAAATAAATACCACATGGCATGTCGATATTTGGCATATGGCATATGATTTAATTCAAAATGACTTCCCATGTTCTCAATAACGTGTGAGGTAGGTTTTGATTATGTGTTGCCCAACAAATTTTATTTTTGAGTTGGTTGTTATTAGGTTGTCTAATTGTTAAGAGCCATACTTTCTTTTATTATGTATATGCGCTTTTATAACAGAATGTCTTATTTAAAGAATTAACATAAAAATGTGTTACATTTACAATATAAATAAGTATTTTCTTAACAATAAGGTTATAGTTAGTAAAGCATAACGGTTAGATCGCAACACTTTTCTAAATGATATACATATTTTCATATTGAACTGTCATAATGGAAATTGAAAAATAACAAACAAAGTTATAACATTTCACCGCGTAAGTATGTAGTTTTTCATTAAAAAAATATGATGAATCAACTAGTCTAGTGATCGGGCCGCTTCATACTAACATTTATACTTCCTCCATTTCTTTATAAAAGCCGTTCTAGTCTAAAATTATAGTATTATAATTTATAGAAATGGGTAATTTACATTATATATAACTAGTGCGTGGCCCGTGTGATGCACGGGAAAACAATATTTTGATTGTATTATAAATTGAATAAATAAATAACATTAATCATGATTTATCCATTATTTTTAAATTAAACCGGGTTGGACACAATCTGGCCGGATGGACCGAGAACCGGTTTATAACCATTTTAGTGCGCTTAAATAAAATATTTGCTATCGAATCTTCAACACCAGTCTGTTGGATTGGTAGAATCGATACGATTTTCTAAACAAATTTTATTACATTAAAAATAATTTTAAATAAAATTACATATTTAAATAAAATAGAGATTTATAAATTGTTTATCAATTAATTTAAACATTTGAATTTATAAATTGTTTAGATATTTAAGTAACACTTTTTATTTAAATTAATTACAAAAAGTACTAAGTATTATGTATTAAAATTTGAACAACCACAAATGATTTAATAAAATAATTTGATCGTTTCGATGACGGTCCGGTTCTGAAAACCTTATATTTACCGTACATTAATAAAAATATATTATAAAAATAATTATTTTGTTCACATAAATAATAATAAAATGATATATAAATATTCATAAATCATTAATCATATTGTCATAAAAGTATTGTTTATATGATTATTTAAAGTTTGAACTACATCACATTCACATAATAAAGTATTTTCAATATTAAAATTTATATTTAGGTTCAATAATCGATTTGGTCTGGTCAAACTGATACATAACTTAGTTACCTGAGACCAACTAAGTTGTTTCAAAGTTTTTTGACTATTTTAAATATCACCTAAAAGTAATTCAATCAACGTTGGCAGTATCCTAATTCAATCACCCGATTGATCCAAAGTAATTTCTTTATTTTCTTTAGATATAATATTTAATTTTATGAAATAAAATAATTTTATCTTTCATATGTCTACACCAATTAATAGTATATTAAGATTGTAAATTATATATCTAAAGATGAATTATTTATTTTTATTTTATGAATATTAATAAAAAATAAACATAATAATTTTAAAAAAAAATCAAGATTAATTGATTGGGTATGCAATTTAAAGAATATTTTTAGCGTTCAATATATATATATATATATATATTAACATGATTGAATTTTTGGATTAGAATATATATATTTAAAATAATTTTGTTATTAAAAGTAAAAAAAAAAGATGCCATAAAGATTACAACTTTGAAAAGTTTGTAAACATTAATTTAGGAACCATCCGATTTTAAATGATTTTATAATTTTTGAAAACATCTAAAACCCATTAATTTAGGAACCATCCAATTTTTTGATAATGAATTAAAATTAAAATGTAAAATAAAGAAATTGCTGAAAATAGTATATAATGAATGCGGTTTAACTTTTCTTACTACTATTTATGGTAAATGTTAATTCTTATAGAATATATATAGATATCATAAAATTTAAGTTTAGTCAACTTTTAATATTTTATCACTCGCTCTTTCTCTCTCTTGTTCCATTTGATAAGCATCAAATATTTTATTATTCTTTTTATCCTTATTAAAACTTGCACACCGAGAATTTTGGATAAAAAACAAAAAGAATGAATAAAATGTATCTAACAATAATTATTTAGCAAAATATTTACGACCTACAATGTAATTTGAAATGGAGGAAGTATTTTATTTAAAATTTAACTGTCTAACAATTATGTTTCTTTTTTTAATTTGAGGTCAATCTTTTGTTGTGTATAAATTGTTATATTTACTGAGTACCGAATCAAAGGATTTGTTTCCCGGTCGATCTCTCGAGGAGGACGGTTCAGAATTTAGCTTTGGTATCGACTACACAGAAAAAGCAAATAAATTCTAAACACTCTAATTAGATAGGGGAGAAATTAATTATCAACTAAGAAATAGCATAAAAGCATAAATCCTAAAATACCAACTAGATAATAATAAAGAAACTAGGGAATCGGGGATAATTTATTCAAGTTCGCAACGTAAAGCCAGGAAATTGATCGTTCGATTCGGAACTGACACTCTCGCCTACACATCTAGTGGTTCGCTCCCAATAACTCTTCGTAACAAGGGATTGAACATAGACGAGCAAGTTCGAGCATACAATACCGGCCAATTATCCAATCCGAATAACTTTTCGTAACAAGGGACAAGACACCGACAAGCATGTATTTCAATCCAAAACCCATAGATTATTCAGTTATGAAATCATCTATCTCATGTGCCTAGGTCTATGACTTCTCCCCTTTCAGTTCTAAAAGTCGCTAATTCAATTAGAAAAGAATTAATCAACTAACCATTTAGAATCAACAAAACCCTAACTCGACTAATCAACATTCAACTGTTCCCAATTGCAAGATCGAAGTGTCACTCTTCGATTATATCAATCAATCAAACAAGATTTTATCGATTCCTAATCAAATTAACTCACACAAGAACAAACGAATCAAGCCCGATAAATACACGTTAAACGAGAACAATCATCCCCTATCCCTAGCAGAAGGAATTAGCTACGTAAATTCAATTCAACACAATCAATCATCTCAGCCCAAGCAATTATTTTCATAGATTAAATGAAAAGAAAGACTTACGATTGATATAAAAATCGAACGTTGAATCTGTATTACAAGCTTCTTCCAAAAACAATCGAAAAATCACGGTGAAACAATGGAGTTTTTGGAGAGAAAAATGAAAGAGAAAGATGGAGAGGAATGAGAGAAAGAGATCGCAGGGACTAGGGTTTTTACTCCCAGAGGGGAGATGTCCTGTTGATCGAGCCCCGTGCGATATATATATATATAAGATTATGTGACAAGGCGTGAAGGACCCGAGGCGCGGCGTGAAGGGCGCAGGCACCACGGCGTGAAGCATCTGGCACGGCGCGGAGCATGGATGTGTCGCGGCGCGGTGAAGAGACGCGGCGCGGAGCTGTGACGTGCCGCAGCTTAAGGGTCCAGCACGGCGTGGCGTGCGGGATGCTGGGAGCCTCAGTCCGTGTCGTGGTGTTGGTGCGGCGTGGCAGGAGCGGTCTTCGCGGCGCGAGGGATCCGCCGCGGCGCGGCGAGGGCTGGTGTCGCGGCGCGGGGCCTAGGCAGCTCGAACTTCTTCATGTCTCGGGCTTGTTTGGGCTCGTCCGAACTCGGAATTGAGTTCCGTTTTTTTCTATGTGTTCCCAACGAACTTCTCTATTTAGTTACGCTTGCCCGACTAATTTTGCCTAAAATCCGGTCCTCCCGAGGCTTCCGACCTACACACCATAAACAAAGAAAAACCGGAAAAACATACGGAAAACACAAGAAAAATCAAGATAGAGGAAAACACGTGATAAACTACAAAACGAGATAAAAAATAACTAAAAGACCTAATACGGGGGAAAAAGAAAGAAAAAGTAACAAGGAAAAACGCAACAAAAATGGGACAAACATCTTTGTCATATATTGTTTTGCAATCTTAGCAATTAACAAAAAGTGGGACATGCTTACGAATGAAGAGCTCTCAATGCAAATAAACACCCCTTGTCTTCCACATTATAAAAGCAACACAATAATGGATATTTATTAATTATGTAAAGGATTTCGGGGTTACAATGAATTTAATCAAAGAAAGTGGAGGCAATAAAAATCATATAAGCCTACCTAACATTAAAAATTGCATTTTTTATTTTATATTACTGAAGCACGTCATTTACTTTATTTTTTTTAATAAGATGTAGTTAATTTAAATGGTGCAATTATAAGACATTGATATAGTTATTGTTTCTAAAGTTATTATTTATTAGAATTCGACCTTGTGCATTTGTACAGATGTAAATACAATATTGTGAGTTATTTGTATCTATATGATGATTAATGATTTTTCTTTCACTTTTTTTGTATGTCAAATTTACAATTAAAAGATCTGAAATATTTATTTTTTAAAATTTTGTTTATCGGATTGGATGAAACATATATTTTTGTATGTATTTTTTAATTATTTTATTATTTATTTAGGAATTTCAAATATGTTTTTTATTTTTCAAAAAAAAAAATTAAATGTAACCACAATAATAACATCTAATCACATTATACGGTCAACACATTATATGGTCAACTATCTGTAATCAAAAGTTTAAAATGATTTTTGTAATTTTGAATGATTAGTGTTGATTATCTAATAATTAAATGAAAGGTTAAATAAACCAAAAGTAACGACTTTTGGAGGAACATGGTTATATTGCCACATATGTAAAATTAAATAAATTTTATTAAATGCCGACAGCCAGTAATTATAAATATATAGATATGCCATGAAATTATTGTAGGCAATAGAAAAATACAACAAATATCTTTCCTGAATATAAGGGCAGACAAGTACTTTACAAGATTGCATAATTGTGCTGCTGAGACCTTTTGCAACATCAATTACATTTGGCACGTAGGGAGCATTACCAGTATAATTTAATTCAACTAATTGCAATTAAGCTAATTTTAAATAGACTAAAGGAGTCGGTAAAAGAAGGGGAAAATAATTGTTTATCGTTCTCACAATTAGCTTGTTAGATAAGATATTTCATATGATAGCCTTCCAATTAATTACAAGTTATTGTGTGAGGCATATTAAGCGAAACAATTCATCATATCTTAAAAAAAAAAAAAAAATAGTATGTAGCTCATGCGATGTACGAGACATATATCAAATGAGTTATTTTTACAATGCTTATTCGTTTAGTCCCAACAAAAATTAGGGTTAGATCATCTATTTTTCACGTTTTTTAATCAGCATTTTTTTTTAAGTCATAACGTTAATCCTGATATGTTATGACTTGTAAGCTAATTGATATATTATCCTACTAACACGTTTGGTAGTAAAATGGACTTCACTCGGGCTTCTTCAACTCGGACGACCTTCGTACCTGCAGAAACTCAACGTCGGGAGGGGTCCCGACGTCGAGCCTCTGATACTTACTCAGCACTCGCCTGAGATAAAGAGTGCAATATGAGAGTATCATAATGAATGTCGAGAGAATGATGTTTTGATATACCTTAGGCCCCTTTTATAAGGGAGGTGTACCTCAGTGCCTAAGTTGAGCTCGAACAATACCATTATGTCATGTGTCCTAGCCCATGTATAGGTTTATTCTCCAATATATTTATTCTTATCCATTAAAACCGGTCTAGTATAATATCTCATATCAATGTTTATACTAATATAATTTTTATTTTAGTATATATATTTATTTCTTGATATAAGCAGTTTTAGCTATTCCGGATCACCAAATAACACTCAGTTGCTATTTTATTCTAAAATTTGTTGTCATTATTATTACTTATAAAAGTCATAGAATTAGTCTTCTTCGTTTTTATTTTATGTAAGAAAAAATATTTAATATACATTAATATTAATATAATTAATTTAAATTATATAAATAAGTTTAAAATAAAATATTGTGTATAATTATTTTACAAAATACACACACATGATTTTTAGAATTTATTTTTTTCATAATAACTAAATAACTTTTATTAGCAATTGTACAAAAACTAAATATCTTCTATAATCAAGAGATTTTTATAATTTGCATCCTAAGGCTTTATAGTTTTTTAAGCATTTTATGCAATGAAAATATATTTTACAATAATTTCATTATGGAAATAAATAAATAATTATAATTGACAGTAATATACAAATAAATTACATGTTGAAATTTTAAAAAATAGTTAATATATTTTAATTTCATTATATAGCCTTAGTAAAACTATTTAATGTCTATGTCTGTTATCTCTTAAATGGTAATATTTATTAACTTGAATAATAATTTTTTTTATATATAATTAAATAAAGCTTACAAAAAATCATATTTGCCCATATTAATTCACCAACTTGATTTCGCTTAATTAATTGGAAGAAAAAATTTACCTATACAAATTTTATAAATATTTTATGATGAAAAATTAATATTTGTGAAAAACAAATTAATAATATGGTTAGAAATTAAAATCTGTTTTCATATTTATATTAACCAAAATATTATCAACATAAATCACATAAATCAATTTGTAGTTTATTATAACGAATATCAATAAAATTAGTGTAGATGTTAATAAAATTATTTAAGAAAAAAAAATCTTTTTGATCATATTTGTTTTGGTCTGATTTAGAGATGTGTATACGCAAACAATTACTGCATACATTTAAAGAGTTTTCAAAGAAGGTATACATTAAATATTTTTGAACTTTTTTGGTGTTTTTAATAAATCTTATTCTCTTTATACATATAGATTGCATACATATAGTATAAAATATTATACTTTTGTCTAAATTGTTTTTAAATTAAGACATTATAATTCAAAAGTATGCAGATGTATAAAAAAAAAAGTATGATTGATTAATCATTATGTTGGTTTCACTTATCCTCATTATACAGTGCAATTTCTGCAAAAATTTGCACTTGGAATAGTTTGATCAACTAGTGCTTTCTTATTCTTATTATTCAAAAACGAGCTTATTGTATATATAATAAATATATATAAATATTAGTCTAACTTCTTATAAGTATATGACAAAGACATCACATATTGGTTGTGTAAATCCACACTTCAGAAAGGCTGTAAGAGAGGGATGGCTACCAAATTCCATTGGGCAGTTGATAGTTCATAATTAATGTGAACAATAATATAAATAAAATAGAAAATATCTAACATTTGCAAACTAGTTTTTAATTTTCTTATAGCCAAAAGTGAGGGGAAGTGAGTGGCTCCCATTATTGAACTATCAATTTCTTTATTAAAAATTTGTATAAAGAAATGACCCTTAACCTCTTCTTATTCATGTCTCTTCAAGTTTCTTAGCTATTAAACTACTTTTATTAGAAAAGAAAAAAATAAAGAAAGCCTTCAACTTTATTCCAACTCTTAGCAATGAGTTATAAACAGTTTTGCTCAGACAAGACTAAAAATCTTGTCAATATATCTTAGCTTGCAAATGATTCCAATTCCCTGTATTACTTAGACTTGTTTTGTCTATTTGTATTTTGTAGCACAGCTAATGATAAGTCAATTGTATTACTTTTTTTAATAAATTTACATTCATATTCAAATGTCATGCATTAAAATATAATATAAATAAATACAACATTTCATATTGTAAGAATGCATTTCTTGTAAAAAAGAAGTGTAAGTGTTTTAACGGTTATGCAGTCTAACTTAGTATATATTTTTACTTTTGTATTTTCTTAAACTATTTAATTATATATTTCTACTTTTGAATTTTTCTTAAACTATTTAATTATTTGATAGCTATTTGAATTGAATAACAAAAGACCAAAAAGAACTAAAAAAAACACAGTAAAAGGGGTAGCTTGGCTTGTGGTAAAAGATTTTTAAGTGATCATTCACTGGCATGCCATTGCTAAATCAATTCCTTTTCCTTTTCTTTTCAATTCAACAATAAATAAATAAATAAAAAATGTAAGAGCATCACTAGTTTCTTATATATACAGCCCACATCAACTCTTAAGTCTTAAGCTTTACTTCAGAATTCAAAACAGGCATAAACCTGAAATCTATTACATATCTAACAGTGCTACATTTGCCTTCTGCACTTCATAAAAACTCAGCCTTTTGCACCTCAAGTGTCATATGTAAACACAGCCCACATTCATTTCCAACCCCCAAAAGAATTCCAAATATCCAATCAGATTTCGCCTTCTTAATCCATTTTCGTCACCTTTCGACCTGAATTCTTTCAACGTAAGTCTCACAACAATCGGAAATCATATATCGTTAGCACATTTTCAAGAACCAAAAAAAAAAAAAAAAAGATTCATAACCTTGATTTTTCTCTTTTTCGATGAAGGAGTTTCCTTCGTGTTTCGGTGAGAGTGGTGTGCAGATTGCTAATAATCCTTTATATGCATCAAGCTCAAGTTCAACCAAACCATCTCCTCACGAAAACCTCGTCACATGTATCTATAATTACACTTCTCAACGCTTTTCGGGTTTCATCACGATCACATGGATCAAGCATGTAATGGCATATGGACTAAGCATCTGCATTATAGACAGCAGCTCGTCAAACGAGCCTCCTCTCTGCAAAATCGACATCAAGCCGTGGCTTTTTTCCAAGAAAAAAGGCGCTCGGAATTTGACGGTCAACTCCACAAGAGTCAACATCCATTGGGATTTATCCTCCGCCAAGTTCGGTTCATCAAGCCCCGAGCCACTCGAAGGATACTATCTAAAAATAGCCTTGAATCAAGAACTTTGTGTGCTTTTAGGAGATTCTTCGCTGAATGAAGCCTGCAGAAAGACCGAAATACCCCTACCCATCCCAAAGGCGAATTTTGTCGCCAAAAGGGAGCATGTGTTCGGGAAGAGGCTATACACTACTTCAAAGGCTCAAATTTGCGAAAATGGGAAGATGCACGATATACGGGTCGAATATGACCCGAGTGAAGATCTCGGTAAGTGTTTAGTGATATACATAGATCGAAAGGCAGTGTTGAAGGTGAGTCAACTCGTGTGGAAATTTAGGGGTAATCGGAGTATTTTTGTCGATGGGATTTCGGTTGAAGTTTATTGGGATGTTTTTAACTGGCTTTTCGGTAGAGGTGCCGATTGTAATGCGGTTTTCTTGTTTCGGAGTAATAATGTGTCGAGGGAAAAGGGGCGGAGTAAAGATGGGATGGATTCACAAAAAGGTCATGGCTTTTCACTAGTGTTGTGTGCTTGGAAGAATGAATAGATATTTTCAGAGTATACAATTGAATGATTTGGTAGTGTGTGTAAAATTACAGGCTTTGTGTGTGTGAGAAAAAATTCAAGCTTACAGGTGAAAAATCCGGTGACTGCAATAGAGTGGAAAAGCTCATCTTTTTTCATATGAGAGAGGACTGATGAGAGAACTTTGGAACAGTTTTTGGTTGATAAATTCAAGAATTGAGTTTTCCAAAATCATTTCACATATAATCGCCAATTGAAGCCTACTATTTTTTTTTTTTTTTCTCTTTCTCAATTCACAAAAAACCAAATCCAAAGAATCTCCACCTTATTCTCCGATGGCAACATCCGCCTTTTCCGCCGCGACTTTCGCGCCCAATCTCTCCACCCTGGGCTTCCGGGACATGGCGGCCTCTGCCGCCTCCGCTGTCTTGCGCCGTCGAGACGATGGCGACGCTGTCTTTACCGGATCGGCCGCCGCCGGTGGCGGCGTTCATCACCACGCGCCTGATGCTGAAGGACGCGATGGCCAGGCTGCGCGTGGGCGGGTACAGCGTGGGGGCCCTGTCGATGCGGGTCAGGTACTTGGAGCTCTCGGATCTCAGATCCATGACACTGTTCGCCGTCGACAACGAATCCATTTTCACCGACGACGGCGCCGGAGGTGGAGGGGGCCGCGGGTACCTGGCGGAGCTAGGGTTTCACATCTTGCCCAACAAGCTCCTGACGGCGGCGGATCTGATCGAGCTTCCGGCGGGAACGGCGCTTCCGACAATGGAGCGTGGCCGGAGCCTTGTGGTGACCAGCGCCAGCGATGGAGGGCCGCTGGCGCCAACGAGAATCAATTACGTGAAGGTGAGGAGCTTTGATCTGGTGTGCAACGAGAGGATTGTGGTCCATGGACTGTCCAAGCCGTTCCGCCACGTGGAACTAAGTAGAAAAATTCGAATTTTTAGAAAAAAATAAAATAAAATAAAATAAAATACATTTGGTTTTCTTTTGCTGTTACCGTAGTGCATAGTGGGCTAAGCAAGTTCAAAACTTCATTCAAGTTTACAATCCTAAATGCTGTAGCATATTATTGAGGGTTCTTTTCTTTTCTTTTTTTTTTTTTTTTAA